CAACTCTCTTGCCGAATATTCCAGCGCCTGGGTGCTATGCAGCCACAATGGCCAGTTAGCCATGGGATTTCTGGATTTGTGGGTGGGTCCCAAAAAGGCAGACCTCCAAGAACACTAAGTGTATTGTAAAGTATCATTCAAGGTAAGTGAGCTTGATTTCAAGGTATTTGGAATTGAAGTAGCTCTATCTCGGGTGGTATTAGGGTGGTAGTAGGGTAGTAAGTGGTAGTAGTGGGGGTGGTGCCCGCAACGCGCGAGCAAGCGCTGCCGGCAGCAGCAGCGCCAGCTTCACCCAGCTTCACCTGCGGAAGAGGAGACTGGGATGGATGGGTTGATCGGCGGGCAGGGCAGCTGGGTCAGGGAATCACAATAAATGAGTAGTTTCTTTTTGCCTGAGCAAACCGATACCCCAAATGGTCCGCTCGCAAGTCGATCACGGATCAACACATCAGAACTATTGCCTGATCAAGCATTCAGCACGGGTTATAAAGTGAGAGGTCCTGAAAGGTGCTTCTACAGGAGGTTCTACAGGAGCGGCAAGCTTCTGCCCCCAAGATGAATTTGGCACCCAACGGGGGGCATGAGCTTCATAGTCGGGCAAAGCCGGAGTGATGCTGTGGAAACCACCATCAGGTTGAGTAGGCTCCAAAAACTCAATGCCGTCATCTTGGGAGTCTACGGCCCACACGATTTCCTGGGGTAAGCCAGGCATAGCCATTGCTTTGAGTAAGCTGCAATTAGAGAAAGCCGATGCGCGGAATGCTGGGCCAATGCTGGGCCACACAAAATCACCGAGAACAATTTAGTGATGTTCCAAACGGTAATGAACTGCTTTTATGAGATTTCATAGTTATTTTATTTTAGCCATCAAATGCAAAAACACACAGATGACGACGACAATACCTCAGTAAATAGTCGGCCGGCAGGAGCGTGCATTCATTTGTGCTTGCAGAGCGACCAGAAGGCGTGAGCCCGTCTTTTGCCGGTCACATCGAACCCTCCCAAACCAGCAGCTAGTTTGGGCCCGATCAACAAACTGGCGATGAGCCACCAACACAAGTATAGTTAGTCACTTTGCTAGCACTTACTCATTCAGGCTAAGCAAAGATGATGGCTGCCTCCAGTTTGTTGGAAGTTGCGACTAGCCCCCCATGTTTCCCCAAACTTTTGACACCATTGAGTACCAATCACGATTACTGAGTCACAAGCATATACACTGAGGACGTTGTTGGACTTGACGTTGTTCATACGATATCATACAATGGTGTTCATCACAGCAAGCGCTTGCACTGCCCTTTTGGCAGAACAAGTTTCTGCTTCAAAAAGACAAGCGGCTTGGCAGCTCCGAGGGTTTTTTCGGTATCATAATAGCGAACTCGCCACACCTGCATAGGATGTTTTGGGAAGTGTTTGGGCAAAAGTAGTGTCCAGACTGACCCCCAACTGCACCCTTTCCTTGTCAACCGCTATTCAAATAAATACAGACTGACAGACTCACATCCTATCCTTTTAACGGAGCGAGTGGCCCCACCCAAATCCCATTCCCGTGTGTTGGACAAGAATGCACCTGGACAACAGCTTCCGACTCAAAGATCTGCGCAGATTCAAAAAAGGAGCCCACATTCGTGGCCCGCACGTTCCGCAGCTGCACTGCGGCAGGCTTCCACAGCATTGTGGTCTCCTCCTTCCAGCGGACTTCAAACCTGGAGGCAGTGGCGGCGGGGGCAGGGGTGTGACCCTTTTTTTGTGAAACTTGTTGAACACCCCGGGCCCCTTATAAGACTCCCTGGCCTGTCGTCGGCTTGTGCATCTTGCATGACCGAAGCTGGACGGTGATATGAATGGCCAGCAAGCTCAAAATCGACCTTCCCACTGCCTTCAAGCTTGATCAATGCAGATCGAAGGGATATTAACTCAGAGTCGTTGCCCTCTCCATCCTGACCGGTTGCCAAGTCCTGGTAAGACAATAAAACTAAAGCCATTGCCTCAGAGTACAAGTTATTATATATAAAAACATGTACGACAAAATAACAAAAGACATTACGGCAAAAAATAGTACGGGATGGGCCTCAAGGACAACCTTTTCCTCGTCCGAGCTCAGGTTGAACATGAATCCTTTGCGTGGATTCTCCTCCAACACTCTTGCATAGGCATAAGCACTATCTCTGGGGGGCTACTGTTAAAACATATAAACTTTGTTCCCAGACTCTGGAAATTATGCAGTCGATTGTGAGTCAGTTTATCAGCCAATTACTGTATTTCCTTTGTGGATAGTTTCACAAAAGCTTGGCACGGGTTTCATTCCTAGAAAGTTTGATGTCTTTTTTGTTTGACGGGTCCTCTCGGAAAGACGTAGCCTTGGAATCTAGCAGCCACGCACCAGCCCCAAAGCAAATGATGGGGACAGAATCTTCAAGCTCACAATCATCAGTCGCCAGAACAAAGAGCTTCGGTCCCTCAACAATAACGAAGGTGCTGTGGTTGTCCAGGGAAAACTTGTGCGACCCTGCCCCATAGCGGCTCTCGAAGTCTGCCTGACAAGTCGGTTCATCCTCAAAAATCGTGGTCCATGAGAAATCACCACTGCTGGCACCGCTGGCAATGTCACCACCACCAGTAGAATGAGAAGATGTTCTTGTTGCACCACCCTCTTGACGACTGACATGAGGTGCCCATCTCTTGTCGAAGGACACCAGTAAGGACCTCCACTCTGGTGACCTGATTGGGCAGGAAATGTACCTTTCCCTCATGTCGTTTGGGATCACGAGACGGCCATCCAGAATCTGACATAAGTAGAGGGAAGGCTCCTCCACAGCAACCTGTTCCTCTGAAATATGAGGCTTATACTTCGGCAGCTGTTTAGCCATGACTCCCCGGCCGTTCTGCCAATCCTGCAGGATAAAAGTTCAGAACACGCACTGCAGAGTCTGGGCACTGGAAATCTAGAATCTAGAAAAAGATGAAAAAGCATCGCATCCCCCAAAATGACTGCGTTCTCAAAATTCTGCAACCGACCCTCCTCCAAAAGCATCTTGCTGACGGACATGACAGTGTAACTGTGGTGAGTTTGCACCTCTGACACTGAAAGAATGGGAATGCCCTGCTTCAAAGCAACCTGCTCCAAGCTGCCGCAATACGCAGTCGTGTGGATGATGGCGCTTCGGCCCGCAGTCTGGCCTCATGGATGATGGCGCACAACAAGAAAGCACGGGAAACCTATTCATAGGACCACGATTGAAGGACTTGGTAAAACGAACAATTGAGCAAAGCAAATTGAGCAAATTGAGCAAACACCAAAGCTGCAAGTTGCCATTGAGACACCAAGGGATTCAAGGACAGACTCCCAAATGCTGTGGCCACTCAGCCATTGTGCAGTTTCCTGTGCATCCGTCAGGTTCCTCCGCGCGTCTGCGCTTTGGAGATGGGATCTCTCGCTAGGAACGGCAAACTCTGATTCAGGAATTGCCTTGGGAAAGCCTCCAACTGCAAAACCTTGCAGTTTCCAGAGGGAGGTGCTAGCAAAGGTGCTCACAGTGAGCCCCTTGGTGTCCACATCATCGTGACGCGACCTCCTGTAGCCAACTCCCTTTGCAGGAAGGCATGCATCAGGCACTGCAATCCAAGCTTGAAAATAAGAAGGTCGCTCTGAATTTTTGTGAAGATCAGTGGCATCCACAGAAATGGAGATCGATCTCATGGCAATCCCCAGCTGGTTGGCCTTGTCTTCGATCAACCTGACAGGGTTGTCTTCGATCACCTCTGATCATGGATGTTCATGGTCAATTGTCTACCTAGGGACGTAAAGTACAACTCCATGTTGACAAAGCGACCGGCAAGCAACCGGAAAGCCTCGCATCTTTGCGTAGGTTGCCACCACTTGCAGCGCCGGCAAGAAGAGGTGCAATCACCAAACCAGCTGATCCTACAGCTGTATCGTCTGAAATCATTTGCGCATGAACTGGAAATGACGTAGGACAAATCATCTGAAATATTAAAAACTTGATGACTTGACATCAAGAGACCTTGCTGGTTGCGGGCCAGGACTTTTGCCAGGAGAGCGCAATGCCGGTTCAAATTGACAGTAGTCAAAGTCCCCAACTTCGTGAAGTCGATCACGACGAGAACTTGCAGCTGCTCACTCTTCACCTCCGCAGGATGAGGTTAACCCGCTGAACCCATACGGTCAAACATGTTCAAACAAATAAAATATAACAAATAAAAACTTACAAGAATGTCGCCTTGGATTCTGACGCAGCCTGCTTGAGCCAGGCATCAACATTTGGCAGCGCAGAGACATCAGGGAGAAGATTGACACTGCAATGCTTGCCCATGAACTTCTCCACCAGCCTCAAAACGAGTTGGATAGTCTCACTAAATATATAGATGAAACAAGATCAACAAGAAGCCTGGGTTTGTAAGAGAAACAACAGGAGTCTTTGGAGTCCAATCCAGGCAAACAATTGGGTGGGAAACCAGTATGCTAGTGTCAGACTAGAAGCCCTCTTCCCGTGGCAAGCTGAGCTCTGGTGTGCTGCACTTCCATGATATGCTTACGCGCGGTCACTTTCTGCTGCTGGTTTGTGTACTTCACCCATTCCAGTTCATCGGACCTTGTTGCCGCAAATAACAACAAAGACAAACATGACTCTTGACAAAGGATGAAAAAGGACACCTGAGACAACATGCATCAACATTCCATTCAAGGAACGCAATTTTGCTGCGGAAGTCTTGGAACTGCGCTTCTGCTGTGACCTCCTCTACCTCTTCAACATCAATGGTTGTAACAGCCTGCAGAGTCGTTGGCTGGACCACTTCAGTCCAAATGGTTAAATGGCGAATGCTCCAGTTTGGGAGGGCCACTTCCAAGCACGACTGGATCTCCTGCTGATAGTCCCTGTCAGGGTAAATTGTGCAAGATGGTCAGTGAACCATATGTCTTTATTGGGGGCAGGAAACTAAAGAAATACACAAAGGTTGGGTGAGGCCCTCATCAAACCCTGAGCAGTCCTTGCATAGAAGGCTTGTTCGATGCTGTTCACAACTTCCAAGCGCTTCTCCGGCTCGTCTCCCAAAACATCCTTCGCATCACTCTCCAAAGCCATCATGATGCATGTGTAGTCAACGAGCTGGTCCCAATCCGATTGGGTCAATCGTAGCTTGCCGCGTGAAGATGCCTTGACCTTCTTTGATCCTGCAGCAAAGGTCCAGATAACATTCTTGAGAAATGCTTGTTGCACCGTTGGTGTGACAACCAACAATCTCTTCATCGTATCCTTGGCGTTCCGTGGCACTGCTCCGAGTAACCATCTACTGCTCTTCAAAAGGTCAGCTGTAAAGGCGCATTCTTTCCAACGGTGGAAATCCAGGTGGCCCTGGATGAGGGCACGGCTTTCTTTGGATGTGCCTTGCAAAAGGTTCAGCACTGCTTTGCGCTTGTCATCGTCAATGCGATAGCGAGTGAGTAACCCTGGTAGGCAGTGGTACTCGTCTATCACAGATTTCAACCTCTCGTCCGTAGTCATCTTCGCGCTGTGACGACCACTCAAATCATGTTCTTGCATAGCCGCTGAAAAGGTCAGCGCTAATGACAAAACTGATGGTGGCTGTCGCTCCGATCCCCTATATGAAAGCTGCAAATTGGTGAAAGCCCGCTGCGTCATTGACTGGTCCACGGACACCTTAGTTGCAGGTGTTTGCGGGAAATTTTGGCAATTGTTTCTGGGTCGATCCGTAATCAACAAAATGCAAAAGATTGCAAAAGAGTGTTTTGAGTCCAATTGAAAATTGTTATATAGTATAGCCATACTATACCCTAGGCCCTAAGTATAGACTGTCATCATGTACTTGGAGCCGAAGCGCGTGGGCTGACAGCAGCCATGCCTTGTCGAGGAAGGGGAAGAAAGGCTCTAGCTTTGCCCAATCAGACTCACAGTCTATGTCCAACTCCGAGCATGTGAGAACCACAAGTGCAATCACAGTGGCTTTGGTATACCCCTTGATGATGTCAACGGATCCATAGCTGAGCTTCATTGGACCTTTGGTGGGATTGTTGCAGGGACATCTATAATCTGAAAACGCACGGCTGGATGATCACTGTTTCTGAAAGCTAGGGATAAGGCTGTTGTCCTCGAAATTCACCTGAGTTTCACAACTAGCAGTGGCATGTTCTACGACCCAATCCCACCAACTATCACTGTCCGGTCTTCAACACTAGGGACCCTGACGTTCACTGAGATAGGCTCTCTCGCCAAGTCGATAACCGACAGCATCATGGATTGAAAAGTCACGGTCCAATCCCGAATGCAAGGCATTCCATCTGCTGGTGGGGTGAGCCTCGGCCAGCAGGCGGGTTGTATCCGGTCGGGGTTTTGTTGGGGCGGATGTTTGGAGACACCCGGATGGTGTTTGCACTTCTGGTCTGCAGTAAAACCAACTAGTTTTTATTTAAATGGAGCCCTTTGAAGTACTGGAAAAGCGAACCTCTAAAGTGGAGCCGTTCCAGCTGAGAAACTTCAAAGAACTTAGCGGCATCTTCACTGTGTCGTTGTTCATGGAGCGGTCCACGGCCTAAAAACTTGCTTCATGACATCTATTGGTTTCCTAGTAGGACATCCTACACAGGTGCCATTAGGTGTCACTGCAATAGACAAATGAGGGGCTGACAACATCGGAGGCAGACTTGAACACAAAGTTCTTTCGTTTCTGCTGGTAGCCCATGTACCACAGCTCCAATTGCTTCCAACGCTGCAAGTTGTTCTCATGGTTGGGAGAAGCCAAGAAGAATGGCACACCATCAGCAGGGTGGGACGTGGTGCCTTTCGAGCTGACGGTCTCCTCTTCCCACAAAGCAACGTACTCGAAGAGTTCCTCAAAGGTTCTGTTTTCCGAGCAGAGGGGTGGCCTGTTCTCTTTTTAGGACGCCCGTTACAAGACCCACGATACTAAAACATATGTCGAGACCCATTAGAAGACTTCACAGAACTGCATTGAAGATGAACTCTTCAACATGATTATAACATGCATGATTGTTTGGAGTGGACCAATGCACTTGAAATCCTAGTGTCTCTCAGCTGTGTGGTGTCCCCACTCGAACTCTTCAAGTGCTTTTCCACAGCACTGCAATGTTTCTTGGATGGCTGTGTAGGTGGGCTTGGGGTCAGCTTCGTCTCGTCTTTCACTTGCAAGTCTGACTCTGACTTCTTCGGGGTTTCCCAGCAGAGCTCCTTTGCCTGACTCAAGAAACGGTTGGCCATGATGGGCAAACGCTGCAGGCCAGCACACTTGATAAGAGCTGCGAGTGGCTGTACGCATGACCGTCAGACCTACTCCGGACATTGACTTTTATGTTGAGGGTCAAAATAAAAGTCAAACCCTTCTCCTGGAGCCCCGAGATCTATTTTTATGTTGACCCTCCAAAACAAAATAGATCCCTGACCTCCACAGGCTAGGTTTTCAATGGACCAGACCCCCCCTGGTACATTGACTTTATGTCAGGGTTCAAGAAGTAAGATCAATGTCCAAAGTTGCCCCAAAACTGGTGCAGCCACCAATGCACCATCTCCCAAAGTCAATGCACCATCTCCCAAATGGTCCATCGAAAATGGACTTTCTCCCCAAAATTTTTCCTCCTGGACATCGACTTTGGTCGG